GATAGGGAGGGCAGCAGAATACAACTGACACTAGGATTGCTGTATGAATACACATGGATGTATAACCAATGTGATCCTGCAATCTGTACACGAAGAAACATGAGAATTCATACCCTATTTGAATCAAATGTAGGATATGTCAAGATCATTGTATTGTCTTGAACAACTAATAAAAAATAAAAAAAAAAAGTCGCACCCCTTCCTACGAATGTTCAGCTCCAAGGCCCCACGTCTCTTTATAATTTGTCTCTACCACTTTCTTCAATAAACTTGCTCTCCGCTTGCCTCTGTGTCTCTCCATAGTTTTCTCTTCCAAACTGGGGAACAAGGATCGTTCCCAATCTGCACCAGAGCGGTATCATGTGCATGTAACACACTCAAGGGTAAATAAGAAATTTGAACTTTGTAACCAGAAGATGAGAAGCCACAGGTTTCCGAGCAAAGATACTGATGACAACAGGCTGTGATTCAAGACTAAAAAGCTTAGATGGGAAACCTCGGTTCGACGAGGTGGTCAGGGCCTGAATTCACCTAGTACTTGCGGCTAGGGTTAGGATTTGTCCTGCTTTTCCTTCTCTTTAGAGGTAACAAAAACAAGACATGGGAGTGGTTGGGACGAAAAGGGTCGCCCAGGAAGACCGGACCGGCGATGCGCATGGCCCCTGGCGGTGGCGACCCAGACCTGGGGCCTGGAAAGCTGCAGCTTGGGCGTCGGGAGCTGCGCCGTCCTGGACGTGACGGAGAGGCCGGAGCACGAGGGGATGACTGCGTGCCAAGGGGAGCAGCCACTGGAGGCGAAGGCTGCGTCCTGAATGCTGAGGAGCACCGGGTATGGCCACAGGACGCGCGGAGCCTCCGCCGGGGGCACGCTGTAGTCCTCACTCCGGCTCCCTGGGCTGAGGGACTGCATGGAGCTCTAGGTTACAAATCGCGCACTTTCTCCTCCTGGACACAGGTCCTTCCGCGACAGCGGGCGCCCGGAGTTACGTCATCGGCGGGTTACCTCCTCCGTGGCTGCAGACTTTAGGTGTCGATGGGAAGCCTGTCACGCGACATGCTGACAGTAAGGGTTTGACGTTTAACAGTGGAAGGAGTGCGTCTCTTAGGCCTCTTCTCTCCTTGACTTTGGCATTGTGGACATCTTCGGCGCCGCATCACGCGGGTCCGCCCCCGATTTTACTCAGGCAGTATGTCGGACAGCCCCGCGCCGCGGAGGGGGCGGGGCGGGCCAGGGCGGGGCGGGGTCCTGGCTGGGCCGCGTCGCGCTCAGGGGCCGCGCCGGGTAGCGTTTCTCTCCAGTGCCTGAGGCGGCTCTGGTTCGGAGAGCCTTTAGGCAGCTCTACGGGAACCTCTGTGCACGGATGGACCCGCCCGGACCCGGCGGGAAGCGGCCTGGCAGGCGGCGGCCCGGGCGGCATCAGCAGAGGCAGGACAGGGCCGAGGCCGCGGGTCCCTGAGGCGTGCGTGCCCACCGGGCCCGGCGGCAGCACCATGATGCCGGGCGAGACCCACTCGGCGGCGCCCGGGACGGCGGCGGACCTCTCGCGGTGTCAGGGCTGTGCCTCCTTGCAGCAGGTGCGTCGCCTCCCCGGGGCGGAGGGCGCGGGCTGCGTGTCAGGGGCTCTCCGGCTCCGCGGCGGGAGCTGCCCCGAGGCCCTCCTCCCGCTCCCCTTCTCGAATGTTTTGGGTACCTTTTGCTTTGCTTTGTTCACACCTGCAACCCAGGACTCACTGACTGGGCTGGTGGGTGGAGGGGGCGGAGTGCGGGTGTGCAGGGCCTACCCAGCCTCAGGGCTCCCCAGGGCGGGCTTTGGTGGGTGAATGACAGGTGAAATGCGGAGGGAATTTACGTCTTGGAGAAGACCTTTGTTCTGACCCCTTCCAAGATTTTGTTGCTTGGAAGCAGATCTTTGGTGACAACGTTTCGAGAGACATATATTTCAGCCCATACGCGGTTTGTCGTACCTATCTTAGTTGTCGAAGTTGATCATGTTATCAATTAAGTCAGTAACGTGTTAGTTTTCATTGTAGTAAATTAAAGGCATGAAGTTTCTAACAGCGGCCGTGGACTGTTTCTGTGTTGAGTTGCAAAAATCTGGCTTCTGGTCATGGAAGTAACAGAGATAGCGCCAAGTAATTTCCAGCGTCCTTCCTAACTGCTGTCAGAGTCTCATTTAAAAGACATGCTGAACCACTGAGGGATGGGGACAGGACAAGTAAAAGTTAGGGTTAGAAAGTAAATACGTTGGTGATTAATAAAATTGAAAAGGGGAGTGAATAACTGAGCCAGAAGGGGGGCAGAGACTTTAGGGAGCCTTAGAATGTTATATTTGAGCAAAGAGGTGAGGAAATGAGGTTTGTTGATACCTAGATAGAAAAGCATCTGAGCGGAAGCCTTAGGTGGGAGTCCTGGAGCAGGAGCTTGCCTGGTATGCTTGGGAAGAGCAAGAAGCCCAGTGAGGCTGGAGTTGTCTGAATGTCAGAGGCTGATGGGGTCAGAAAGGGAGGAAGGGAAGGGCCCGATTGTGTGGGTCAGATAGAGCATTGTAAGGGTTTGGGCTTCTCTGAATAAGGTAGTGAGTTACTGGAGGTGTTTGCACAGGAGGATAATTGATGTGAGCTATGCTTTTCCGTCATGGATCTCATCTTCCAGCTCCTGTTCATCCCCAGTAGCCCCCATCTTCTTTAAAGTAGCAGCTGTGTTCTTCAGGATGCTTAGGCCAGAAGCTGGATTTCCTTTTTGGTGCCCCTCTTTCCCCTCTCAGCCTGAATCTAGTCCATCAGCTGGTGCTCCTGGGTCATCATCCATCCACTTGTCACCATCTTCATTGCTTCCCCATGATGGTCACCACTCTCATCTGTGACCTGGAGTTTATTGATTAGTCTCTTAAGGAGTCTCCTTCCTTCCTTCCTTCCATGCCACTGTTGGTTCTCAAAACAACAATAGGAGAGTCCTGGTAGGTATCTAGGTCTAGGCAGGTGTAAACTTTTTCTCTAAGGGGGAAAACCATAAATTATTATGCTGTGACTAGTTCACAATTGCTCAACTCTGCCTAGAGGTGCAGAAGCAGCCATAGACAACATATAAAAGAATAGATGTGACTGTGTTGCATTGAAACTTTAAAAAACAAAGGGAAAGCCTTAGTTTGCAGACCTCTTTTTTTTTATTATTGGTTGTTCAAAACTTTATAAAGCTCATGACATATCATCTTTCATACATTTGATTCAAGTGAGTTATGAACTCCCATTTTTACCCCAAATACAAATGCAGAATCACATCAGTTACACATTCACATTTTTACATAATGCCATATTTGTGACTGTTGTATTCTGCTGCCTTTCCTATCCCCTACCCTTCCCCTCCCCTCCCATCTTCCCTCTCTACCTCATCTGTTGTTGTTCAGTTCTCTCCCTTGTTCCCCCCCACCTTTCCCCTCACAACCTCTTATGTGTGATTTCGTATAACATTGAGGGTTTCCTTCCGTTTCCATGCAATTTCCCTTCTCTCTCCCTTTCCCTCCCACCACTCGTTTCTGTTTAATGTTAATCTTTTCCTCCTGCTCTTCCTCCCTGCTCAGTTCTTAGTTGCTCTCCTTAAATCAAAGAAGACATTTGGCATTTGTTTTTTAGGGATTGGCTAGCTTCACTTAGCATAATCTGCTCTGATGCCATCCATTTCCCTGCAAATTCCATGATTTTGTCATTTTTTTAGTGCTGCATAATACTCCATTGTGTATAAATGCCACATTTTTTTAATCCATTCATTTATTGAAGGGCATCTAGGTTGGTTCCACAGTCTAGCTATTGTGAATTGTGCTGCTATGATCATTGATGTGGCAGTATCCCTATAGTACGCTCTTTTAAGGTCCTCAGGGAATAGTCCGAGAAGGGCGATAGCTGGGTCAAATGGTGGTTCCATTCCCAGCTTTCCCAGGAATCTCCATACTGCTTTCCATATTGGCTGCACCAATTTGCAGTCCCACCAGCAATGTACAAGTGTACCTTTTCCCCACATCCTCGCCAGCACTTATTGTTGTTTGACTTCATAATGGCTGCTAATCTTACTGGAGTGAGATGGTATCTTAGGGTGGTTTTGATTTGCATTTCTCTGACTGCTAGAGATGGTGAGCATTTTTTCATGTACTTATTGATTGATTGTATGTCCTCCTCTGAGAAGTGTCTGTTCAGGTCCTTGGCCCATTTGTTGATTGGGTTATTTGTTATCTTATTGTTTAATTTTTTGAGTTCTTTGTATATTCTGGAAATTAGGGCTCTATCTGAAGTGTGAGGAGTAAAGATTTGTTCCCAGGATGTAGGCTCCCTATTTACTTCTCTTATTGTTTCTTTTGCTGAGAAAAAACTTTTTAGTTTAAGTAAGTCCCATTTGTTTATTCTTGTTATTAACTCTTGGGCTATGGGCGTCCTATTAAGGAATTTGGAGCCCGACCCCACAATATGTAGATCGGAGCCAACTTTTTCTTCTATCAGGCGCAGAGTCTCTGATTTGATATCAAGCTCTTTGATCCATTTTGAGTTAACTTTTGTGCATGGTGAGAGAAGGGGGTTCAGCTTCATTTTGTTGCATATGGATTTCCAGTTTTCCCAGCACCATTTGTTGAAGATGCTATCCTTCCTCCATTGCAAGTTTGCAGACTTCTTTAGATCAGGACACTCTACTACATTTGGGTTTTCTGTTGCCTGGAATTGGAATACCTTTTTAGGGAAAAAGAGTGATCAGTTGTGAATGATGTCTCTGGAATTAGTCTTTAATTTTGTAAAGTAGGGCTGGAAAATGAGTTTCCTGGCAGATCATAGAGAAACTTGAGTGACGACCACCTTGAAGTTTTGTCTGATTTCTGTCAGCATTATGGAGTGGAGGAGGTTTTTCCCTGGTTATCATACCAAAGCAGGACTTGTAGTAGAAATACAGAGAGTGATGTGCAGAATGAATGGGAGGGGTGCAGTAAGTAAGGTAAAGTATTTTACTAATGCATAGTGGTAATAATAAAAGCCTGAGTTAATTGAGGGCTTCTAGGAATAAGAGAAGAAAAATATTGTGAATATGAGAAAGTAGGATGAAAATACCTCTTATATCAGAAGAATGGAAGTTTCAGAAATTAAAATCTTAAGTGACATGAGAACTGTGGTAGAGGAAACCAAGATGGAAGGGATATTGGAAATGTGGGAATGAAGTTTTGAAATAACATCAGGATGGTGATTTTTAGCTATTGTCAGATTTGTTGTTTGTAGAGCAGAGGTACCCTAATACACTAACAAGGAAATAGAGAGCATGCTAGTTGGGCACTGAGTTCATTGTAAACAATTTGTAGGTGGAGTGGAGATGGGAGAATGGGGGAGTATGTTCTGTCATTTAAAAAAACAAAAACAACAACAATAACAAACAAAACAAAACAAAAACAAAGCCCCTGGAGTCAGTGGAGAGGAAAAACAAACAAAAAACACCCAGCTGGCTGCTAAATAGCCTTTGATGAGGTGAGCATGGAATGATGAGAAAGGAGAAACAGATAAAGAGAATTAAATAGTGTTATAGAGGGAATTGAGATGGAAAAGAATGAGAACTGAGAAGAAGGAATTGTATTTGGTTAATTGGTAGGTGGATAATCAGCTTTTAGGAGACATTTCTGATTTGTTGTATGTTACAGCAAGTACTTGGATTAAACTTTTGCATGAAAAACTAAAGATGCAGAGAGAATATATCCTGTTCTGTAAGTGTTTTAATACATTGAAACTTCTTTATTTTACAGAATGTTTACAAGCAAAATACAGGATACTTCTATAGGAGGAACCCATGTCAGTGCTGTGGCTGTGTTCTGATCCATAACATTAAGTTAACAAGTTTCTTCTGAGTTGAGCAGTTGTTTGCTGCACAAAAAAAAATCTTTCTTTCATGTCTTAATCCATCCTTTCCTTATTTTCTTTAGAAGTTCAACAGATACAGTTACTGCTTTTGCTCAGGTCATTGCTTGATTCAGAAGTGTATAGCTTGACTGCATTTTATACATCCCTTTTTTTTCTTCAGTCTCATAAATCACCTCATCTCTGTTTTCTCACCTCATTGATTATAATGGTTTGTCACTGATCTGGAGCCCAATGTCCATGTGGGTTGCAGTCATAAAAACCAATACAGTGATATGTAAATTAAGCAAGTCTGTTTTTCTTTTTCTGGTGGTACTAGAGATTGGGCTCACTACTACTGACCTACACCCTAACTCTTTATTTATTTATTTATTTATTTTTTAAGTTTTGAGACAGGGTTTTGCTACATTGTTGTGGTTGACCTGGAACTTGCTATCCTTCTGCTTCAGCCTCTTAAATTGCTGGGATTACAGATGTGCTCCACTGCCTAGCTAAATTACACAAGTCTTAAGTTAGGTGATTTTAAGTCAGGCTGCTCAACTGGCATAAGTCACTTTATTTTGGTGGAGGAGAGGCCCTTTTTGCCCTACTTCACTGCAAAACAAAGCAATTGGACTTTCTTGGGAATCCAGATGAGAGTTTGAATATGTTCAGCTCATTGAACTAGATGAATTTAGTGAGCTAGGTGTTTGTTCAAG